AAGCCAGCAGAATTGTCTATATTCCCTTATACCACATTCTGAATGAAACAAAATATAGATTTTTGTTCTAGATTGAAGTTGGGTCATCAAGTACTTTATTATCATCACTATTTTATTATATATTTATTTTATATATTTATTCAGTGGTTTTAAAATAACTTGTGTACATGCCCACCTACATGTATCTACATGATCATTCCCCCCACCTTACAATTAGATGACCTTGAGAAAAATGCCTTCAAATCCAGGAGACAGCTACTATGTCTAAAAAATGCATGTTGATTTTTTTTTTCAATCAGTTGACCATTTGTCTGACAAATTCATCCTTAAGACAACCCTGAGAGAAAATGTATTAATAATTTTCATAGAAGCAGCCGAAACAGAATTCTTCATCAGATAGTCCTTTTTTGTTGTATTGCCAGTATTTTACACTTTAGATGGCATGGGAATGCCATTCTGCAGTATCTCAAGTATCAATTAGCTGACGCTAATTATATCACAAGGCCATACATAACCATCGTTATGAAAGTAACTGAAAGTAACCGTTACCCCTTACAGTCATTTCAATGTCAATGTCTACTTATAAGTTTTCTGAAAGAAACTCACTGAACAACATAGGTGGTTTTTCCTGTTTATTACATAGTTATTCTAAGGTGGTAAGTGTCACAAAGTTAACTTTGAAGGGAATAACATGGTCCAGTGGGAAATACAAGCTATAACATTTTACAATAAACCACAACACAAAGTGATGGAACTTTCAAAACTGGGTAGTGCAATGAAACATCTCATCATTTAGCTCTATAAAACTCTGCGGATGGCCTCAATTGATGGATTTTTAAAATATAGTGCTGTTTAAAACATTTTAACACCAAATGCTCTTTTTAAGAGAATATACATCCAAGCAACTCAAACTGTATGCAGAAAGTATGTCAAATTCTTTGTAAAAATTTCATCCAAATTTACAATATTCATAGTGTATTTTGAAGTAAAAATTCCTTAGAACAGATAACTCAATTCCTTGCTTGTTGATGAATATAAACTAAAAAATACACATCGCAAGAAAATTAGCTTTCGTAGGTCTTTGCCTGTGACCTTTCAGATGCCTATTATCCTGGCTTCAAAACTATTTCTGTGGCCATATATAATACAAACACCCATGTACTACATGCACCATTTATACTATCTTGGAATTTATCCATCATCCCTACTAAAATGAACCACATTTTAAAGACACGATACATCATGCACTCTTGAAAATTACAGCTAGGGCCTCAGATTTCCTATCTTTTCCACATGCATTACAAGCACAAAATTACAAATATTTTTTAGCTGACAGTATAACAAACTGCATCAGGCAACTGGTATACTGAATTCAATATATCTCTCATTTTTACACTACATTCTTGTGGGATATTTCAAACAAATATAGTTCTCACATGCACGATTAAAGATGCTAGCAAGGCTAATGCAAATATGTATAAATGGGCAAATGTATGCATATACAGTAAATTCATTCAATTAGCATTTTCAAGTGTGTATATATCTATACAGATGTATACACACGGATAGCGAGTATAGGAAGGTTACTACTGAAAATATGTCAACAGTTAGAATAGTGTTTTGAAAGAACATACAAAAAAATTACCTTACAGGTTATCTGGCCTTGTTACCAACTTACTTCAAATCGAACATAGTTTGGATTCTTTTATATTTGTGTTTCAATACAACACTCATCTACTCACAACTCTATAAATCAGTATTTCATTTTTTAGTGAATATTGATTGACAATCAAAACATGTCACCAATACAAACACGTTAGGGAAACGTCAGTGATAGGATTCACCCATTTTGATAATTGAATGTCAAGACATAACAATATAAACATCAATTTTGTGCTTATGTATAATAATTAACACAATATTGGATTTGTTTGGATTTCACATTTTTTGTGTATCTGGATTCCATTTTGTTTGTTTGTTAAATAAATCAGTACAGCTATTTGGAACCATTTTGCCTTACTAGTTTAGCATACTAATTTAGCATACTGCTTTTGAACTTAAAAACGCCCCAACTAATACATCACATTTAACAATTTGTGACATGAAGGTTTTACATACAATTCCACAAGCGCCAGTAACTCATAAGGCTGTGTCACAAACACCATATTTTACTATTTACGGTCTATGAACATACACAGATACTTATATAAGCACACCCATATACACACTGAGCCCTGAAAATTTACACAGACACCCACACGCCTGTATAGATATATGGCCACATATGAAAAATTTAGCAGTCCAATAGCTCAACACATGGGATTATTTCTCAAGAATATTATTCTCTATTTTCATTAAGAAATGTAGCATTCAGGCTTCATTGTTTTTAAATGGGGAACGAAAAAACAAAAACAAAAAGCAAGCCCAATCATGTATAGATTTGCAATGGATGCAACAAAATACCCCTGCTGCTTAATATAGGGAACACATACCATACACAAATGTTGGTTCAAAATGTTTTTAGAAGATATTATTTGATTTTTTAATATTTAGATGAGCCAATATAAGAACACAGGGATGTGTACAGATGGGTGGACCTGAAAGGCCTTAAAAGCCTTTGATGGTATAGAAACACTGTGGAATCCCCCCCACCCCCCCGACTTGACCGATCAAGCAAGACAAAGAAGAAAAAAACCACGCGGCTTTCAGAACCAGTCTTCTGAGTGCACACCAAACTTCACACTTGATATACTATTGATTTGCATTTTCTAAAATGCTGAAAGCAAGGAAATACTTATCCTAGCTTTTTCTATGATGTCTAAGGGAAAAAAAGTGAGTGCAAATGAAGAAGTATCAAACTTTTGACTAGAGCACAATGTCTTCATAGCACATTTAAGGTTTATCATAAGGACAAAAATGCATGGCTTTTGCTGGAGCTCTTTCGTGCTCCGTAGAACCATTTTAAAGTTCAGTGCCTAATTTTTTAAAAAGAATTCTGTACATAAGTAAATCTTAAGTGACTATAAATCATCAATTTGATTCCACCAATGAACCGAAAACTTCTGGTTGTTGCTAAGAGGTTTTTTTATTATTATTATTTTTTTAATTTCTGCTTTAGTATAATGGAATTAGGCTCTGCATAGAAAGAGATCTCAAAGTCTATAAATGGTGTGTTGTTTCAATCTCCGAGGGACTTCAGTTTCAAAAAGTAAATGATATATATTGCCTCTGAACAGTCCTTTAATAAAAGTCATATGTTCAAAAGATTAAATGCTGTGGAACAGCATTTCCTTTGGAACTGCCTAAATGGAAAGTTGGCCATGATATCTATCGGCAATTAGTACAAGTACAGTTTCTTTTTGCCATGTCTAAACAAAGCCATGGGCTTCATATCAATTGGCACTATCTGCCACTTATCCAGAACAAATAGCATTTATTGGACCTTTCTAAGCAGTACTTGTCCCTAAGATTGACAGTGCAGGGAAGTTAAAATTTTTGGAATTTATTTTTGTTCTGGACCATCTGACCCCACCAGATTTAAGTTAACGGTTCCACTGCTTTCTTTGCATTTTTGACAGTTCAGTCAAATACATACTGATCTTTTATGGATTCAACTGTATTAAGTAATGCATTTTACAAAGACATAACTAGAACAGACACCAGCATAGGCAAGTCCACAGATGTTTACTGTTTCAGCTAAAACAAAGCAGCCTTTTGATCTCAGCAGGAGTCTCTGTTCATTTCTATTGGAAACAGTTTTAAAACCTGAAGTCTGGAACAGGTATTATTATGAACTGTTCTTTCAAGATGGAATGATTCAGTTTGCGGTTCGAATAACCTGCCAGAGAAGTGTCTTTCTCTCCAACAGACAGGATAATGAGGCACTAATTATTATAAGGCTAGGTTTTCAGATGCTGTTAGATTGCCTGGACTCTTTTCTTTCTTTCTTTTTTTTTTTTTTTTCCTTCTTTTGGTTGAAATGTTTTATTCACTTGGAAAGTGAGATGGTAACATATGTAACTATAAACCAGATGGTAAAATTTGATAGTTGAGCAATTTATCAAGGAGATAAATTGATACCATTTAAAACAGTATATGACAATTGAATTTCTCTCCATCTTGAATCAAACATTTTGTTCTTAAATTCAGTTTTCAAGTAAAATTTGAAAAAAAAAACCTCAAGGAAAGGCCTCCAAATGGCATCATACATTTTTAATTTATCACCTACTGAGATATGTCAAGCCTGTAGAATATCAAAACCATGCTTCACAAGTCTTAAATTGTTAGTGTTTGAACTAGTAAAACTAAATGATCACTAGCGTATGGCTTACATACAATAGACCATACACATTAGATTAATTTTTAACATTCAGATTTTAAAATAATTATTTTATGTGTAAGCAAAGCTGACTATGACTTTTAAAACAGAAGACGAGAAGGGCAGAATTAGTAGGTTAATGTTAAACAGTGGGTTATAATCATAGACTTACTTGGTTAACACAAAAGGAGTTTTGCATATGAAAATTTCCAAAACATCAGGACTTCTCTGTGTGGAGATTTGGATATTGAGGGCCTGATTTACATAGCAGCATTTAAGAGAATTTTGCTTTTAAATAGATTCTTCTTAGAAGAAATCCAGACACAATTTTTTTAGGTCTGTGTGTTTAAAAAAAAAAAAAAGTTTTCTAGTTTTAGCCTTTTCACATTTGAAAAATTACATATATGGTTGTAGGGAGGAATTATGTAATTTATAGCAATGCCACTGAACAAGTTCTTCATGTTGGTATATCGGTTAAGCTATATTTATGCTGCTTCCAATGAAAAGGTAAGCTTAAGAAAATTTACTTGATGAAAAAAAACAAGGAAAGTTCCTAACGCCTAATGTTAGAGTCTTCAGGAGATGTGTCCTTGACATGAGTGTTTTTCCTCAGATATATTAACCCACAAAATGGTAAGTAGCTTTGTCTACTGTCCAGGAAGAAAAAAAAAATCGACTTGAGTATTTTTATTATTTTGCAATAGAAGTAGCTTTAAAAAATCAGCAATCCAAATTTTCAAAAGAATGTAACTTTTAGAAAAAAAAATATGTTTGCTGGTGCCATTTTAATTCGCTTGACCAAAAGGACAGAAAAATTGTATCTATTTGTCTACTTATGATTAAATGAAAACCTCATCTGCAGAAATTATGACCCTATATTGCTATATCATTAGCTTGTTCTTATACTCAATCTTGGGTCCATATCTGAAATTCATCTAAAGCCAGGCCTTGGAAAAAAAAAAACCTCAGCAATCGAGTCCCCCAATCAAATCAATGTAGGAAACATACATATAAAAAAATCTTCAAGGATTAGCATCATGAATATAAAATGCCTGTATATCTACTTTTATATGATTTGAGTTCATAATTTCAAGGTATGCAAAACTCTTTTGTGTATTTTGCTGTTAGACTTTTCTTAGGAAATGTGAAACACCTTCACCCAATCACAAACCATATACATTGTTCCATTGTCTCTTTTACACTGAGTCTCCTACTGAATCCAAATCATCCGAAGAGATGGGGCGATACAGGTCCTGTAAGATGAAGGGCGGTACAGATTTGTTTACTCAGCTTTCTTGGGTGCCCTGTGGCTCTCTTAGGAATGGAGCAACAATGAATGAGCATCCTTGGTTTCTAATGTCAGCAGACCTTTTAGAGTCTCCAAAGTTGGGTCAGAGGAAAGGTAATAACTGAGAAACCATTTAAACAGACATAAATGGTGCTCATTTTGCCTTATTGGCTTGAACTGCTTCCGAGCTATTGCCTTCTGTGTCCTGTTGAGTTTTATAACCCCTGAGAGCCGTCCATGCCAACTCCACTACTACATGTCTAGGCAATTCTTCCTTGAACATTTCCTTCCTTCCTTGAAGAGGAATGTGCTTACCTCACAAAATAATGTGTCAGGAACCCCAGAGGGCATCCAGCAAATTCTGGTCACAGAGCAGTAACCCAAGTGTTGCGTTTGCATACCACATTAACCCGACAAAAACTGCCTCTTCAAAGTTTTATATTTGGAAGACAGAAAATAGGCAAGCTGACCTCCCCTTCCCTTCCCAATGTTCTTCCGGTTCTCCCACCGCTCACCAATCACCTCCTTTTTTCCTCCCTCCACCCCTTTCTGCTAGGAGATCTCTCAGTTGGTAGCCAGGCAACCAGCTCAGATCTGCAGACGGTCTAGAATCCTGGCTTCTTTTCTATTTTGTACCACCTACTCCTCACATCATCTGACTGATAGATAATCTACACAAGTCAGCCATGTGGGAGTATAATGGGGAGCTTCATTCAACCTACACACCACAACACATTTCTTCCTGATGTATTAAGAAATAAGACCTCAAAAAGTTCATGGATGGAAAAGATCCTCTAAGATCTGCTTCTGTGACCAGTTAAATGCTTCTAGGCAGCAATTTAAATAACAGTGTTTTGGAAAAATAGGGAGGTTGTTTGGTACATTGCCACCAATGCTTTTATGAAGAAAAATATCTGGCCTGCAGACTCTTAACTGTATATGACTATTCTAAAATACCAAAAGCTGTAACATAAAAATATGATTTTAAAGGAAGGAAAAAGGCTGATTAAATCATCATAATTAACATAAATAAAAATATAGATTTTCTTAATTGTGAAGAAAGTGGTCAAATGTCTTGCTATTCCTTTAAAAATTAAAAAGAATGTTCTTATTTTTTAAAACGAGGTAGGCAGTGTAAATGTGTGTGTGTGTGTGTGTGTGTGTGTGTGTTTGTGTGTGTTGGGGGGCACAGCCAACTCATTTTCCTGGCCACGTTGCTAGGCAACCCAGAAGGAAAAATAGAACTAGCTACTGTTTTCCAATTTGCAATAAAAAGAGTTAATTTATTCTTTGAAGTCTCTTCTTTTAGCACTTGCCATCTTTCACTTATTTCAGTATTTCCTGCATAGGAGTATAGCCAACCATTTGAGAAGAACATTAACCAAATTTGAAACAGGATCAGTTTTTAGGGATATTCTAGGCCCATTTTAACTGGGAGGGGTTATTTGATGCAGTTGCCTCCACACCAAGATGAAAGCTTCTCTCGCTAAAGCAGCTGGGAATGTCTCTGTGCATTGACATGGTACATGGATGGAGGATGTTCATTTACGGCCTAAATTTAAAAGCCTGGAAACTGAACCATCTCTGAATTATCCAGTGCTCTATTTACAACATGTGCTTAATAAATGTTTTCAGATGACGATAAACCCTTTGTCTCCCTGAAACAAATGGGATTATTTTTCCCTCTCAAGTAGATGCTTGCATTGGTAGTTTAAAAGACACAGTGAAGAATCTACAAGAGAACCACCCCTTATAGTCATTTCCCAAGTGCTGGCGATGTTCATTATAGAAGCCATCGGCCACACAGCTGCTAGTCACCGGATAGAAATTTTCTGCCTCATTTGGACAAAATCATAGTGACGCCAAGAGTACAGAGGGCAGAAGAAGCAAACTCTAGCCTCATTCTGCCAACACAAGGACAGTTGGGCAAAGCACTTTATAACCCCACAATGGAGGTCTCCACAATGAGCAAGCAGGGAGAGAAGCTCAAATCTATGGCAGGGACTCTCAGTCACCACAATTTAGTCTCAGCAACTAAGCATGAGCTTAATCCTGAATCTGAGTTTAATTTGCTCAAAGGATGGACAGGGATTACTATGCCAGATGTACTAAAGCATATACGTCAAAAGAGAGAATATTCTCGGAAAGAGCACTATCTGCTATATATGGCTGCTTCCATGGAAGGGGCCTTGCTGGGTGGCATTTACTAGAAAAGAATCACCCTCCTTCCCCTTCCACCACTCAAGGATAGACACTTAGGGGACTCCATAAATTCGGCCAATTCTTCTTTTAGTAGTTCACTAATGATTCCTGTACTTTAAAATGCCAAATTAGACTGTGGCCAATAAGAAACTAATAGTGAAAACACTCAGATGGAATAGAACTATCGGGTTTTCTACCTGCAAAGAGTTTTTTCCAACTGAGACTCAGAGAGGATAACGGACTTACCGAAGATAACACAGCCATTTAGTGGAGGAGCCGGTGCCAAAGCCTAGGCCTCATCAAATAATCTAAACATGCTACACCTGGTGCCAGGAGGCTCTGTGGAGAAAGACAGCCAACCTGACACTGGTGGGCCAGGCGCCAAAGGGAACGGGGTCCGACGGAGTCCCCTGCCCCCCCCCTGCTTTTAGACAGCGGCACGTGGACGCAACCTTGCAGGGGGCTTGACAGGAAGAGCTTCCATCTTGGATGCAGTTTAAAGTTATGGAACTTAGAAGTTTCATTTTAAAGCACATAATAAAAGAAACCAAACTAAGAATCCAGTCTCTGAGTTCAGAAGCCTCCAAGGAGCCCTTGCTTATTAAGATGTTCGGTGAGCACCATCATAAAGCCTCCCAGGAGCATGTACTCCTCTCCACCGTGCTTCTGAAATCCGGACAGTGGAAGGCCCTCCCTTCCCTCCTCTGCACCTTCCTCTCCTCCCCTTCCCACCCCTTTTATTCCTGCCGTGGTATTACTGGGAAAGACAGACAGTACAGGTTGGGAGGGGATAAGAACAGTATTTCTTTCCCATCCCTGAACATGGAGAAACTAACACTGTTTCCAGTAACTTTCTGACTTTGGTCTCCAAGCTCAGTCAACTTCTCTAGTATTATACAAGAAGCTAAAAAACAAACAAACAAACAAACACAAAGCAAGTAGTGATGAAAGAGAAGGTGCTCGATGTGGGTTTCATTCACAAAAATACATGTCATCTGTACCCATCCCCTGTGCCACGGACCCTAAGCCGCTCCGGACCACCATTCTGTGCCAGAGAGCAACTCCCCACCATAACCCCCTTCTCCGAAAGGACACTTTTTTTTCCTTTTCCTTCTTAAGGAAGGCTGATGGTCAGCGATGAGGTCTAATGAAACTCATCACAACTAAGCTTGCAAACTAGTGCCAATAAAGTCTTTGCCCACTCAGGACTAAAAGAGGTGGGGTATTTAAAAGTGAGGCAGCGGGGCGCCTGGGTGGCTCAGTCGTTCAGCGTCTGCCTTCGGCTCAGGTCATGATCCCAGGGTCCTGGGATCGAGCCCCGCATCGGGCTCCCCGCTCGGCGGCGAGCCTGCTTCTCCCTCTCCCACACCCTCGCTTGTGCTCCTGCTCTCGCTAACTCTCTCTCTCTGTCAAATAAATAAATAAAATCTTTAAAAAAAAAAAAAAGTGAGGCAGCAACTGTTGATTCTTCTCAGAGTTAAGCTATGGACACATACAGAGAAAATAAAAACCCTGAGCTCTAGCAAAGAGAAACCAGTCACTGTAAGTGACCCGCCACGGTCACCGCCCACCCTCACCTGGTTATTACTTAGAGACAAGCAGTGCTCCTGGGAGCTGGTCACCTGTGTCATTCTGCAGGGAAGCTCAGGCAGGTCTTAAACAAGGAGCTTGCTTAGTTCCTTACCCTCTGCTTCCGCAGGCTTCCCGGGCTGGTGGGTGATGGGCTTGGCGACTTGCCCGAGCGTGGAGTAGACAGCTGACTACCAGGGGTTCCATTAACTAGAAGCAAAGAATCACACAGAGAAAACACGGCTTGTTAAAAAATTTTTATGACAAATCGGCTTCTCCGAGAAACAAGCAATTACAGAGGGACGTTCGCTAAAATTCTAGACACCTTTCTATCTGTGGTCCTGAAAAACAGCCTCGGGGAATAACCTTCTTCAGAAATGCACGGTTTTGCTAATCCATGCTACATATAGCATCAGGCGACACAAAAATGCTTAAAAATGTACTTTGGACAACTTTCCTCATGAATTTATGAACAGTGCCTTTAACTGTGCCGATAGATTTTAGCCATGTGGTTAAGGTCCTGAGACATTTTCAACGGGATTCGTCCTTAATTCTGTAGTTTAGCTTCCCAGCACCACCCAGTAGGAGTAAATATTAGCACAGCTCACAAGTGATTTTCCCAGTGCCTTGTTAAAAAAGACCTCTATCTTTTTACAGTTAAGAACTCACTTCTAGAAGCTCCTGTATCCACTTGTGCCCTATGTATCCCTCTGGCCTAACTCTGAAGGACCTGCCTTCAACGGGACAAACTAATTGGCACAGACACTCAGGAACTCCTTACAGTCTGTCTTCATTGCTACTGAAAAGAAAAGCTGCTTTCTGATAGGTTTAAATCACTGGAATTCTCCCGGACTCTCAAGACTTTTATACAGCATGATCGCTAAATGCAATCAAAGCCACAGAACTCAAGTACAAGCAATTCTTTTCTCGGAGTCACATCACCTCTCGGAACTGATAACACACTCTGGAGATGTGACTTTATAAAGATATATAAGGTTGCCACTCTATCAGCCATAAACAGGACGACATTTTCACATGTTTCATATCCACAGTCAATGAAGGAGAATTAGCCACGAGATACACACACATTCTTGAGGGCGCACGAGATACATTTTCCATGAAGGAGAGCAATAATGCATTGAACTTACCTTCTATGAGTTCTAACATGGACACAGTCTTAGTGTTTAACCTGGCAAGAGCAAGAGGCGAAGTCCCCTCTCAGCACTAAGCCGAGCACCCGCGGAACTGGGAAGCAGTTGGATTAGTTAAGGCTAAGGCTGCTCCCAGAGCAGGCTGAATGAGATGCAGGATTCATCAGCAGATGCCTTTTCTGCGTAAGGCTGACGTCTTCCAAGCAGCAGTGGGAGGTGCGGGTTCTGTCTTAGGCTACATCAAAGGTGTCAATTAAGCCTCATGCCAAAGCAGAGACACTGCAACCCCCACCCCCGACACCACTGCCTCCCGGAAGCCGAGCCCTCTCCTACTTTGCTCTGAATCACAATGAAGTGCCTGGGGGGCAAGAGGCCCAATGACTCATCCGAATATCAAAATGACAATAACTTCCAAAACCCGGTGACTACCTGGGTAATAAGTACACCCTCACAAAATTCAGTGGCCTGGTACAATGTTGATTGGGTTTTCGCAAACAATGTTGGCACAAAAACTTAGGAGTGGCCAAGAGAGTGGGAAGCTCCTTGTTTTGTCATCTTCTCTAAAGACCTTTTAAAAAATGTCACATAACCCATGCTACACTCACGTGTCGTTTTGCCTTTGAAGTGTATTTAGCGACGCCTTCGAAACAACAACAACCAACAACGTGGGGAGGGGTGCAGATTAAAGTAGGAAGCACTGCGAAGGCTTTAATTTGCTTGCATTGTGCTCAGGCCTCTTCATACTGGACTTCCTCCAGCCTTTGGCTTCTATTAGGGGCGGGCTCAGACACAGGCAAGAACTGAGGAACTGTGGGCAGAGGCAGAATCTACAACTAACAAGGCAAGAGATCCCTCCGAGAAAGACAGGTTTTATGAAAGTCACATTTTCTTTGTCTACTTCTCCACTTGACACATACAGGCTACCCAGACTGGGGAAAAAAAAAGAGTAACCTGGGAAGCAAGCAGAGTATTAACATTTTTTACTTTTGATTCACTAAATTTATAAAGCTATCGGAAAATGAAGAAAAAAAGAGAAAGTGGACTCCAGGATGACAGCCTTAGCCTTTTCCAAAAGCAAAACAAAACTACAACATGTTTGCATTTGGTAAGTACCCGTTCTGTGTGCATCTCAGTTTATCAAAGACTTATTTTCTATGCACCAGTTAATGCACTTAATTAAGCCTTTTACAAGTACACTTATAAGCATATATGTATACATTAGCTCATTTAACACAATTACTATGAGGCAGGCAGTATTCTTTTACAGAAGAGGAAACTGAGGCATAAAATGATAAGCAACTTGACCAGCAAAGATGGGGACAGAGCCCCAAACCTAAACAAGACAACCAAGAATCTGCACTCTTCACCACCACATTCCCTAGGGTGCCAGCCTGCTAGCCTGCAGGGAAATCAGCTAACTAAGCTAGTAATCACAATAAAGTATTTTGAGGAGGGAGGTTTTGGGTGTTGCCTCTGAAATCCTAACATACTATGGGGTCAAAGTCGCCCTACACCCTATAGAGAGGGAAAGGAAACCCAACCTAAGTATTAGTAGGATTTTGCAGGTTAAAGTGGGTAGGGCACAATGAAGGAAAAGTGTTCCAAAGGCCGGGGGGGGGGGCACCTGTTTTGTGGCTGGGCACAATGTGGTGCATTGAAAAGACCTAAAGAATTGGCCAGGCAGGTAAATGGAGCTGGGGGGAAATAACCTTACAAATGAAGGTGGAGGAATTGGTAGGGATCCCGTAATGCAGGGCTTTAAAATTCATGTTAAGGAGTTTGATTTTTATCCAAAGGGCAATGACACGCTCTTGAATGATTTTAAGCAGGAGCCAGGCGATCAGATTTGTATTTTTAAAAGCGCTCAAGAGCTCTTGCCTGTCAAGAACGGATTAGGGGAGCATAATAACGGGCTCGAGGATATCCCTAAGGAGAATGTCTAGGCAGGAGGGAGTATGGCACGTTTAAGTGTCCTATGCTCAGAGGGATGGTGTGGCTGGGTTGATGGTGGTGCCGTGGGGGCAGAGGTAAATGGAGACATTCAGGAGAGATTTCAGAGATTCAAAACTATAGGACATGGTAACCGATTGGTTGAAGAGGATTGAGGCAAGAAGAGAGGGAGTAAATTTGGAAGGACACAGAGAATTTGGACATGTCAGACTGAAAAAACTTAGGTGACATCAATTGTGCAGTGTAGGTTGGATTGAACTTTTCCTGTTTTCGATGAAGTAACTTGCCCAAAGATGAGCAACTGGAAAGATCTCATTTATGTCTGCTCAAAGAACTGCACACTTTTCCCATGAGTGGCCTATCCTGACACGTCAGGATGTGTCTAGAACCTTTGTCCCCCATCTTTGGGGCTAAGGGCTTCTGGGTTTCCTTCTCTATCACTGGGGCGCCTCCTTCATCTAAAGCCCTTGGACTCAGGGCTTCTCCTTCTGTTGCCGTCTCTCCAGAGAGATGAAGCTCAAGTGCCAAACAAGCCATTTACAATCAAACAGTTTTGGAACACAACCTGCTTCAAAGTTGGGAACGGCCTGTATTCTTAGGGTCAGAGTTTCTTTTTTTTGTTGTTTTTTTAAAGATTTTATTTATTTATTTGACAGAGAGATAGAAGAGCACAAGCAGAGGGAATGGCAGAGGGAGAGGGAGAAGCAGGCTCTGCACTGAGCAGGGAGCCTGATGCGGGACTTGATCCCAGGACCCTGGGATTATGACCTGAGCCGAAGGGAGACGCTTAACCATCTGAGCACCCAGGCGCCCAGGGTCAGAGTTTCTACTCAGACTCTTCCTGTTGGCCACCTAAAAAGCATTAGCAACCTCTTAAAATGGCTCTTGACATCCAGACAATACCACACACCTTACTGTTGAATCACTGCTGGAATACATAATTTTATTTCATAAGTAAGGCTAATACAAGTATTGAGTTCAGTTGTTTTTTTATCCTGTGCTACCCAAAGTCTCTGGATGCCAAAAGAGACGGCTTTGTCACCTATTTAGTAGAACTTATTAAAATTCAAGTAACCAATGGCATTACTTTACAGAGTAAAGTATTCCTGTATTAAAGGAGTCTGTATTTCGAAGGGGAAAAATTCAACTCCGTATGGTTGTTTTTAAGTGGCCAAGCAGGTCTAAGGATTCATTATTTCAATCTGAAAGTCACTCCATCTGAATTCCTAAGTACTCATCAGGTCCCCTGCCTTGTACCATCAGGGTTCCCTTTATTCAGAACTATCTGGGTTCATTTTCCTTTAATCCTGTATCCCTTGCTCTTCTTGAATGAGAAAAGCTAAACTCTAGGCTGGGTTATTCACAGATCCCATGATGATCAATCATGTAACCGGACACCAAAGAGCTGTGTATGAAATCTGTGGAGCTGATTTTACCAGCCCTAGTTTGTGCCCTGCCTTTTGTCCAACCGGGCCATCAACCTGAGCCCATCAGGGACACAACAGCATGAACTGGTCACAGGACGTTACTCCTCATGAAGCGTCCAGCCTCACCCTTTCCTTTATCATTTCAGATAGATGACCCTACTCTACAGGGCCCTATAATCAATCAGCACACACAGTGTGCACAACACACAGACAGTGTCTGACTCTGTCTATTGGTCCCTGTCTCCCAAAACTTATAAGTGAATATGAAAGTTACTAAAAGAACTCTAGAATTCAGAAATACGTGGCTTATTTTTACTAATTCATTGCTCCTTTTAAATGACTAGACGCATGTGTATATTAATTTGGAATGCTTTTGTGAACTTAAAGGGTTTCTTCTCTTTACGGTTTCATTCTTAAAAGTCTCAGACCACATGTGGAAGCTAAATGTTTAAATGTCTCAAACTGGTCCTGAAATCAGAGCAATCTCCAAGCAAGATTATCTAATCACAAGGTGACTTTTAATTTTTTTTAATTTAATTTTATTTTTTTAAAGATTTTATTTATTTCTCAGAGAAAGAGAGAGCACGCGCAAGCAGGGGGAGGGGAGAAGCAGGCTCCCCGCTGAGCAAATGTGGGAGCCGAAATGTGGGACTCCATCCCAGGACCCTGGGGTCATGACCTGAGCGGAAGGCAGATGCTTAACTGCTGAGCCACCCAGGCGCCCCCAAGGTAACTTTTTAGACATGAACATCTACCTTGTCCTTTCCCTATCTCCTTTCTGCATGTAAGGTGGCTCGTGTATTTATGCTGCTGTATTTGCAGGGATGAGAGGAAATAACATGTTTGCACACATATGGGGTCTGGCTCTGGATTTAGGGGGCAGTGATTCAGGCGTGTTGTTGAGGAGATCCGACCACTCACCTTAGACTTTTTCTCATTCCCTGATCATGGAGGAGGCTATAGATACTCTAAAATCTCTTTTCCTAGCCCTTGTCCATTGCTTGCCACATTATTGAGAAGAAGAAGAAGAAACAAAAAGCAGATGGAGTCAAATGAGGCCAAGAGAAAACAGACAAATATCTCATGGGGTGGGGGGTGGGGGGTCGGGGGACTCTCGGGGAAAGATGCTTTTTCCTAATTCTATCTTCACAGAGGCTCGACTCATAGGTGAGGCGGATCCCTGAATTTCTCCATTTATCTACATTTCCTTTTTTTTTTTTAAGATTTATTTATTTGTTTGGGGAGGAGGGGCAGAGGGAGAGGATGAGAGAGAGTCTTAAGCAGACTCTGCATTGAGCGCAACCTGATGTGAGGCTCCATCTCATGACCCAAGATCACAACCTGAGCTGACACCAAGAATCGGTCACTTAACCAACTGCACCACCCAGGCACCCCTACATTTCCTTCTTAAACTAAGACAATGGGTCCAATTCAAAGGGACTATCTACTGAGAATAATGGGAACTGGCGAGTCCACAGAAACTGTGGGGATGCAGGAAGTGACCTGGCTCTATGAATTATTTTATTATTTTTAATCAGAAAGAAAGAGAGAGAGAGTGAGCACAAGCAGAGGGAGAAGCAGGCTCCCCACTGAGCAAGGAGCCTGATGCGGGACTTGATCCCAGGACCTTAGGATCATGACCTGAGCCGAAGGTAGCCGCTTAACTGGCTGAGCCACCCAGGTGTCCCTATGAATTAATTTTTCTAATAAATATTTATAAAAAGGCCCTTGAACACCAGGAGACCTAGGCAACTTGAATAGATCCTAGTATTTCTCAATTCACTCATCTGGTCAATTTACCCAGTACTTAACTGTGAACTTGGAAACGCTATAGAGTGTGTAAAGAACTCTTGCTCTCAGAAACCTTACCATCTAGGAGGGTGATATGATATGTCACCTATAGACCAGGAGCCAAATCAATTGTCACAGGATTGTAGGGGTGGAGAAGACCCTAAACAGTGAGGTGATCAGGGGATGTT